GGCAATAGGGATTTCGCCTAGGGCGTCAAATTGGCTAGAAACGGCCCTGGCAACACCCATTTTTACTCATGTTTGCTGTTTGGCAAGTGTTAATTTTGGACCTTGCTCACACAGATACACACACATTTACACAGACTGCTGACCTAGAGCATCTCACCATGTAGATGTGAGAGGATAAGTGTGCGGATTACAGTGGTAACCCCACCAAGGGGACTTACATTGCTATTATTACCATACTGCTGATAACAGGAGGAAGAGGAGAGGAGGCTGGGCTTACATTTTTCCTATATGGTGGAGTATATTTTGTATAATTGTGTATATTTTGCATCTTCATTATTATAAATTCTCTCTTGTTTCTGAACTCACTCTTTTTAGGACCTATAACTAGTGGACCCAGAAAGTGTTTGGACACTGAAGTCACACTTAAAAATGTGTGAATGTCACTGCATTATTTACAAAATATCAAACCAAGTGGCATTTGCATACAAATGATTCTAGACCTTTTCTGAAAACGAATGTCACTGAGCTGTTCTTACAATTACTTTAACCAATTGGTGTCAGTGACACTTTAGACACATTAAACAACCAGAATTCATGCAAATAATTTGGTGTCCAGATATTTTATCTTAATTTTGAACAACATGTTCATTATTTTATAGTTTGAACAAGACATTGTGTGACAGATGCACTACTGTTCAAAATTTTTTGGGGGGGGCGGTAAGATTTTTAGATGTTTTTGAAAGAAGCCTCTCATGCTCACTAAGGCTGCATTTATTGAATCAAAATACCGTAAAAAAACAGAATTATTACGAAATATTATTACAATTTAAATATGGGATTTAAATAAAGTGTACTCCATTTACATACTGCATGTTAACATGATTTAACAAAATTAAAGAAATAAACTGACATTTAATCGATTAATTGCAGAAACTGTTACTCTACCACGCTGCATGTGATGTCATTAATAATATTGTTGAACCAACATGGTTCACAATGTGAACAAAAACCGGAGGTGTGAACATGTTTACTATGATTTCGGGAAATGTTTTATTGCGCCTTTCCTAAATAAAACGAAGAATTAAAACAAACAAAAAAAAAATCTTAGTGAACCCGAACTTTTGAACATTAGTTTACTTAATATTTTGTCATATAGTGCAAAGACATTCATGCGTTTTAAGTCCGACTTAAATGGGACTGCTATAGATACACTGTTTGATCGCTCTATCCATGCATCTTTGTTAAACGAGTTGTGTGGATATTTGACCAGGTTTTAAATTTCATCATAAACAGCAGCACAAACTTGCACCAATCACCGATTCCTTGCGAGGTTGCCATGACTCTGTCTTCTGATTGGTCCTGATCAGCAAGGTGACATTGTTTCCTGTCTCTGTGTGGGCTGTGGCATATTTAACAGGACTGTGTGCGTTGAGCAGCCCCGAAAGACTCACCGTTCCGGTCACACCTGAAAGTATGACCAAACATCAAATGACCCAATTTCATACAGCGGTTTTCCGACAAGCCAGCAGTCGGAAATAGACGTCTGATTATATATCGCCTTCTCTTTCATGTTAGTCTACAGGAAGAGATGGGCTTAACAGACCGCGCTGGAAGCCCACTCTGAAGTCACGCTGCCTTTAAAAGTGTTTGGAGCAATAGAGGATAAATGACCTTTACCCTCAAGGAGTGAGTCAGCCATCTTTCCATCAAGGCGGAGAACGGAAGACTTCCTTTGATCAGCTGCCAATCAAAGCACCCTTTCCGTTGGAAAACACACACGTTGCCCTCTATCTGTACCCCTATTGTGTCTGAGTGGGCTGTATCATGGAGATGACAATCTAGAGACATTGAGGGCACGGCAGACAGGCGGTCATCGGCGAGAAAGGAGTGATGGAGAGATTTGGAAGGTGAATGAAAGGGCTGGTTTGTCATTTAATGGCTTCTGTGAGAAAAAGGAAGGGAGGGTGCCGTGCCTGTCTGTGAGCGTGTGTGTGAGCGATTAGTCACTGTAGAATGCTCTGCTGCTTTCCGAGTCTTGCCTCAGTAGCTCCTCACACAGATAGTTACAGAAATAGAAACAGGAAGTGCTTTCATTTCACTCAGCAGCCCTTTAAAATCACAGTCAGATTTGCCGCACAGAGGGAGGTGGGGGAGAGAAAAGAGGGCAGGAAAAGTGATGAGAGGAGATGTGAGGGGATATTTGGATCAGTGCATCTCTATAATAAGCCAGAGCTGTCTGGTGGGATATAGTCTAAGAAAGAGGAACTATCTTTCATTCGGAACTGCAAACGAGGGCTCACGCTGCCTTATGATTGCACAATTTTGTTAGTGCACATTTTCAGGTATAATTTATGCACCGGCAAGTACATCATGTGCTAAAGCTATTAGGGCAGGGTCAGTGGCGGATCTGCAATGTAGGCAGTACTGCGGGGATGCTCCCCCCGACCCAGACAAGCACAACTGTTTTCAACATTGATAATAACCAGAAATGTTTCACAATATTACTGATTTTTTAAAAATGAATTAAATGCATCCTGGATGAGCATAAGAGACTTACCAAACTTTTAAACGGTAGTTAATGCTAAAGTAACTTACAGTTAACCACTTAATAGATTGTTACTGCAGCATTTTTACGCGCTTTTTCAATAAAAATGACAGATTTCTTTTTACAATTTAGAGCAGTGAATCAGTTCAAACTGTGTGTGTGACTCAATCAACTGATTTCAAAGTCCTGATTCAGTATTTCAGATTTTCATATAGGCATATTAAAATTATTTATCAATTTTGTAATTTTGTTTTGTAATTTTGGTGTTTATTACTCTCTTTTGTTATCCTGGAGCATATAAATAAAAAATATTATAATTTTTTTAACAATGTGGAATGTGTAACTGCTTATGGAAAATATGTACTGCTTATTTTTAACCATGTTTTAATGGGTTTTAGTACCTATAGTACTGAGTTTTAGTTTTAGTTGTTTTTTTTAAACAATGATATGCCTCTAATCAGCGCTAATGCAGTATAAATATTGAAATTTATATTGAATATAAGGTTACGCTTTATTTTACAGTATGTGTACATACAGTGTTCTTACCCAAGAAAGTACTGTTAAGTATAAGGTAACTACATGGTTTAAGGTTAGGTTTAGGGTAGGTTCAGGGTTAGTACCCAGTTATTGTAACTGCTAAAATACGTACATAGTATGTATATGTGGAACAGGGCTGTAAAATAAAGTGCTACCGCATATAATTTAAAGGCAGAAAACATATAAAAATATATAAAACTATATGTTTCAGTTACAGTTAAAAGACATTTTCATTGGTCCTAGAATAGAGCCTTGTGGGATATTGTTCCTGCATTCTTTTCATAACCACTTTTTATTAAAGTATATCGCCATGGCCAATTCACAGACAAACATGAAAATGGAAAAGAAGTAGCATCTCTGTCCTCTAGTTTTTGTCTTATATCCTCTTCAGAGTTCTGTCCTTTTTTCCAGCAGTCGCTGCGGCAACAAGAGCATCTCCAGATAAACACGGCAAGACAGAGATACAGGGAATAAGAGACAAAAAGAAACAAAAAAAGAGAGGGAAGCTATCGCTTTAGTATTGCTCTTCGGCTCTGTGTGTGTGTGTGCCAGTACGTGTCTATCCACACGCACATGTATTGTAGACAGAACTCTTACAGCATAGTTTAGTCTAGCCCAGGTTTTAAGGGATGTTTACTCCCTGCCACGTGAACTCCTGAGCTTCTGACACAGATTCATTCTCACTTTATATCAATAAACAAAGCTACATATATGCATTTGACTGCTATATGCCTGATTCAGGCCCTCAGGTGTGTGCTTGTGTGTTTGAGAGAGAGACAGAAAGGAACAGAGTGTGCCAATGAGGAGTCATGACGTTTAAACATCATCTATCTTTGCCTCTCTGAAGTCCTTGCACTCAGGGATCTGGCCTGTCATAACATACACTCCCAACTGCTGCACAGGGCACAAAGACACACACACATTTACACACACAAACACTCTCCAGATACCTGACTCAGTCAGTCATCCCTGAAACAGCAGAGATGCCTAGAGAGAGACTGAGATTGAAGATGTCTCTGTTTTAGCAGTACTTTTTGGGCAAATGTCTGTGCTTAAACAGCTGATATAGAAATGCAATTTTCTAATATTTAAAAGAGTATGTGAAATGTAAATAAGGGAAGTATTTTAATTGTTATATAATTGACAGACACATGGCTTTTTAATTAATATTAAAATGTATATATAATATGTATTTTATATATATGTGTGTGTGTGTGTGATTTAAGAAATTAAATAAATTATCATTTATTATAGAATAAATCTATAATATTTATCAATTAATATAATTATTACATCAAATGATTATAAATTGTAATATTTCAATAACAGAATTTATAAAATGTGTCTGTCTATCTATCTATCTATCTATCTATCTATCTATCTAGTTGTATTATTTAAAAATATAAATGTGAAATGCATATATGTAAATAAATATAATATTTTTAATCAATAAATTCTTGACAGCTACATGGAATTTTTTTATTTTAATATGTATGGAAACACACACACACACACACACACTATAGTTTTATGTCAATTATTTCTTTTAATAAAGGAGTGTTTTAATAGAATATCAGTTTTTGCTGTGATATCTAAATTGACATATAATAGTCAACATTTGAAGTGGATCAAAAAAATGCATCAAAGTTGTCCTAAAACCTAAAACCAATTATTTTCTTAGGACAACTTTGATTAACTTTTTTGATCCACTTCAAATGTTGACTACTGTATAGCATTGCGAAATCTCACGTTCATTTCTATTGTAAGTGTTAAAACTCTCTCTTTCTTCCAGATCCTCCTTCTTCAGTCTTGCTTCCTGATGCACTTCCTCCAGCACGCAGCTCCACGACTCCTCCACGCCCATATACGGGCACGCTCCGCCCCTCCCTCACTACTACCAGGACAACCACCATGGCTCCGCCTCGCCGTCATAACAACATCCTCCCAGAAGCCCTGACACGGTCGCCTCCATCCCTGCAGACTCCAGTCACTGTTGACTATTGCGCCCCACGTCTCACTGCTGAAATCTCCTGGCCACGGACACACCAGGGACAGGTTGCTAAGCAACCGTGCCCACCTGGCACCATAGGTTAGTAAGAGAGTGATTAATCTATTATTAGGGGTAGTATGTGCGCGCAGAGGTTTATTTTGTTTAATGTGTATCGAATCTATCAACTCTTAGGCTTAGCTCTGTGTGTGTGTGTGTGTATGTGTGTTGCGCTCTTGGAAAGATTTGATACACTTCAACAGTGCAACAAAGCTCCTGATAAAATTGAATTTGTTATTCAAACCTGTAATTAATTTATCATTCCGGTGTTTAGAGCTAAACTCCTCATTAGTAATTCTTTATAATTATGTTTAACAATAGGAATTCTCGCAGTACAAATAATTACATAGTAATTTATTATTTAACAGAAATAAAGTGGCCCCTAAAAATGTGAGAATGTCTCCACAATATGTGACAAAATTCAAAACCAAAGTACTGTATAATTCATTAGAAAGATAGAGATTTTAAAAACATTTGCAAAACATTTCACATGGACTTAAAAGGATAGTTCACCCAAAAAATCATTTGCACCCTCATGTTGTTCCAAACCTGGATGACTTTCGTTCTTCTATGGAATATAAAAGAATATATTTTGAGAAATGTCTAAATGTTTAAAAGGTTAATTGCAACCAATAACCATAAACAATAAAAGGACCGTAACTGAATAAACATTAATAAGATTTAAGAGCTGCTCTGGATGAGCAGATTATCGCTTACTAATATTAATGACAAATGAAATATGACATTTTTGGTTGTTCTTCAGTGCTTCACAAGATTTGGAAGTCAAAAGATCACTTCATGGTCTTTTTTGTCATTTTTGGAGCCAGTTGGTCACCATCCAGTTTCATTTTATAAAAAAAAAAGAGGTGCATTAACTTTCTGTTGAAATCTTCTTTTGAGTTCAATGGATAAAAACAGCATATAGGTTTGGAGCAACAAGAGCGCGAGTAAATAATGATAGAATTTAAATTTTAGGGTGAACAATCTCTTTTAAGTGTGATTTAAGTATGACAAATACTTGTTCAAGCCATTGTATGTGGACATGAACGTGTAAAAGTTATGAGAGGTATGTATTTACCTCTGAGTATGTTGAGTTAATATTTAAAAACACGTATTTGCTGTTACTGCGGTTAGCTTGTTCAGGTGTTCTGTCAGTGCCACCTCATTATGTGGGCAGCTGCCAGCTGTTGATTGACACATTATGTACCGCTTGTAAATCTCTCACCCTGCTTGTGTGTGTGTTTGCTTTGACAGCAATTGCAAGGCCATGTTTCTCTCAGTGTGGATGTGCATATGCCTGAGTGAATGTGTGTGTGTGCTGTGTTCATGTTTTTCTTTATTATTATTTTTCAGGTGTAGCCACGTTTAATTGTTTGCTTGGCTACTGGGATCCGAAGGGACCAGATCTGAGCAACTGCACCTCACCATGGACCAATCACATCACTCAGAGAGTGAGTAAAAACATGGCAGCATGGGAAACAAGCTAATGGCATATCAGCCTATTAAAAAAATTCAGTGGACAGCGATATGCCTATAGCAAATATTCTTAAAGCATAATTTGGACTGAAGGTTTTTTAACAGAAGGCACAAAAGCTTATCACAAAGAGCAGCCTGTAGCAAAACAGCTTTAGTGCACAACAAAATGAGGCAAAAATTCAACTGTCAATATCAGCTGCAATTTATTTCACTTTGCGGCAAAATTACAAAGAGAGAGCAGCGCGGCCAAAAGTGTCGTGCAGCAGCGGCTTGAAATCATGTGGCACGTGTGTGTGTGAGTGTGCATGTTTGTGTAAAGTGTGATCATGACTGAAGCTTATCAGTAATGTGAAAGGGTTTCCTTCGTACTGCAGAGAGCAAATCAGAAAATAGGCAGAATCACAAATCTATGAAGCCATTTGTTCATCTACTTATTCGGCCATCAAGGGACAGAGAGAATAAAATCAATATGCCCACGTACATCTCTGGGGCAATTATGACACCAGAATAGAAATATTCATTATTTTGCTTAGCTGAAAACATAGAATTATGCTCTGTCAGAGACTACATACGTTTAAAAATTGTACATTTAAATTTTTAAAAAAAATTATTATCACTTATATTCAAATACTTTTAAAATGCCTGTTTGAAGCCAGTGCATATTTATCCAATACAATTATTTACATTAAGAGAACCAACAAATGGCAATTTCCCTATTGCATTATCATGCATTATATTCAGTAGTTTAATAGTTTACACCTAGCATTAACAACAATATTAAAATTAAACTGGTGACAGCATGTTAAAGATAATTAACATCCATTCATCCTAAACAAAATCTAAATGACTGTATATTATATATGCTGAGTGCATTAATTACTTAAAATAGTTTTGAAAGCACAAAAAAACTGTGAATTTTCCTGTCACTCTTTTGCATCTGGTTGGACCTTTTGCGGTTTATGATCATATTAATAAATTTCTACGCTTGGTTTTAAAGACATTTTCATTTACTTTTGTACAACAAATTATTTTAGTCCAGGCAAAATCTGGGTGCTGACGCAAAAACCAGTTGAGAACGTCATAAGGGCTTGCCCTCAACAGACAGCTCTGCTTTCTCTGCGCATAAAGCTGCAATAGGAGAAAGTATTTTAACGTCAAAAAAATTACACACATCACATTCAATGTGTCTAAATCTAGAGCAGGGCATCTCATTCATTCTCTCAGGAGCCAGCTGAACACTGCAGGGCCTGAATATCACTTTACTAACTTTAAACATCCAGCCTGTCAGTTTCCTATTACCAGCATCCAGCTAAAGTTATCAATTACACAAACATCAGCTCATCTGCAATAAGACGGGGCAATTATGACACCAGAATAGAAATATTCATTATTTTGCTTAGCTGAAAACATAGAATTATGCTCTGTCAGAGACTACATACGTTTAAAAATTGTACATTTAAATTTTTTTAAAAAATTATTATCACTTATATTCAAATACTTTTAAAATGCCTGTTTGAAGCCAGTGCATATTTATCCAATACAATTATTTACATTAAGAGAACCAACAAATGGCAATTTCCCTATTGCATTATCATGCATTATATTCAGTAGTTTAATAGTTTACACCTAGCATTAACAACAATATTAAAATTAAACTGGTGACAGCATGTTAAAGATAATTAACATCCATTCATCCTAAACAAAATCTAAATGACTGTATATTATATATGCTGAGTGCATTAATTACTTAAAATAGTTTTGAAAGCACAAAAAAACTGTGAATTTTCCTGTCACTCTTTTGCATCTGGTTGGACCTTTTGCGGTTTATGATCATATTAATAAATTTCTACGCTTGGTTTTAAAGACATTTTCATTTACTTTTGTACAACAAATTATTTTAGTCCAGGCAAAATCTGGGTGCTGACGCAAAAACCAGTTGAGAACGTCATAAGGGCTTGCCCTCAACAGACAGCTCTGCTTTCTCTGCGCATAAAGCTGCAATAGGAGAAAGTATTTTAACGTCAAAAAAATTACACACATCACATTCAATGTGTCTAAATCTAGAGCAGGGCATCTCATTCATTCTCTCAGGAGCCAGCTGAACACTGCAGGGCCTGAATATCACTTTACTAACTTTAAACATCCAGCCTGTCAGTTTCCTATTACCAGCATCCAGCTAAAGTTATCAATTACACAAACATCAGCTCATCTGCAATAAGACACAGTCAGACACCTCTGCTTCATTCAGACTTTATACGTCTCACTGGTGTTTGTTTGTATATTTACAGTATTATTGCCCTGGCAGACATGCAGGAATGTTTTGTGGCTACAGTTTCAGTTTCATTAGTCAACACGGTGACGGTAACTCAGTAACAGATTCATTTTGGTTCTAATTCTGCTCTGATACATAATAGAATCATGATTCCCTAACTATTTATTACTAAATGATTGCAGATTGTTTCAGCTAATTAGGCTTTATTTCTTATTGGGCTCTGAATTATTAAATTTGTGCTGTGATTTTTCATGTGTAGTTGTGTTTGTGAGTTATTGCTATTGTAATGTTTTAACATTGTGTCTTTCAGCTCCAGAAGAGAGAGCGATCGTGCCGTTTCTTCATACAGGTACTTCATTCTGTCCTGGCTTTGTATGTCGTGTGTGTGTGTGTGTAGACACACATATATTGTCATTGCTTTCTTATTCATGTTCCATATCACTTCAGCATTTACATAGATGTAAAGTTTTCAACATAAAACTGCTTTATACTTGTGTGGCGCCGTATGTGTCACAGCATATGAATCATATTGGCTGTTTGTGTGTGTCTGTGCGTCTGCACTTGTGCCCGTGGGCTGCATTTTTTGCATTTATAAAAGCAGAGCAATTTTTTCTCCTGAGAAAGCAGTAGTGATGTCAGCACTGGTCAGCAGTGTCACATCAGGCGACTGATAAACACACACACACACAGACAGTGGAAAAAAAAGCACAGAATAATGTAGATAAGCCCAAGAAAAGCTCGGCAGACTGAATAAAAGGAAAAGCAAGAGAAGAACTGATTTAGAGGTAGAAAATGACTGATGCATATCTCAAACTGAGCCAGACCGCTCAGTCAACCCTGCCAATACATGACGGATTTATACTGATTTATACCCAATGAGATAATTGAGGTCTAAATGTTGCTCCAGTGTTCTGTTTTTAGTTATCGTTTTTTAGTATTTTATATATTTATGTTTTATGATTGTTTTTTATTTTGCTGTATTTTATATACCAACCAGTGGCAGTTCTGACAAGATAGAACTCAACCAATTAATTGATTATTAAATAATAATAATAATAATTTATAAGTTATTTATATTATTATTTAGGTAATTTTTCCTCATTAAAATGTTTTACCCCTAGTAATTTTGAAAAATATGTTTTAAATCTTAACATCAGAGGAAGACTCCAGTCATATTAGAAGCCTAATAATTTTTTTTTTAATTGAGCAGGTCACCACAAAGAATAGATTTTTAAAAAATAATTCTATATTCACAGAACAATTCTAAATTCACAGAATGCTTATTTATTAATTTATTTATTCTAAATCTGAGGGATCGCTTGCCGTTAGAAATTGACACGTTTCTGTTCATGGCATTGATAACCAAAATCTATTAATTTTTCATAGTCCTGCATCCACACCACTAGGTAGCATTAGTCCAAGGTGACTGCAAAGCAACTTGAACCAAAAAATGACGGAGTGCATTTTCAAATACTCTGCTGAGATTAAATGAGTTTATCGAAATGTCAATTGATCCTGCTGATTTAGACAGAGAGAATTACAGGATTCCATGACAACTGTCTGAAGCCTCCCGGTGCTGACATCAAGTAAATATGGATTCTCAGTGGTCATCTAATATGTAATGCAGTGTGTGTGTGTGTTTCTTCATGCTGGATTAGCTCCTCAGCTTCAAAGCACTTCAGTTCTGCTCCATTTACCAAGTCTGTGGAGAGTATTGCCGCTGTGTGTGTGAAGAAACAGTTTAAAAAAAATCTCTTATCTGTCTCCGCAGTACGAGCACCCAAGTGCACACACACACACACACACACACACACACTTTCCCCTGACCTCTTGACACAGTTTGTCAGAAGATTTCAGAAGCAGTTTTGTGAGGAAGCAAATATAACTCTTCCTTTTTTACCTTTTATCCCAATCGTCTCTCATCTCTATCTCTCCTTTTTCTCTCTCTCTCTCGTAAAAGGGTCATTACTTTAGTGGTGTCAAAATGAATATACTCATCCCGCCTTTAAGACACTCCCTCTCTCTCTCTCTCTCACACACACACACACACACACACCGCTCTACTGTAACTGGGGCAGAATGATTCAACCCAATGGCCAGATTAGCCTGCAGCAAACAACAAAACATCCCTCTGTCCATCCCTACGGATGAGTGCACTACAGTGAGAGACATTAATTACATTACATATCTCCTCGCCACAGATATTATACACGTTATATGTGCAGTAATAATAATGCAAGGTCATGAGCTTCCATAGAGACATGATCTATTTTAAATAAAAGGAATTTGATCTGGAATTATTGTTAGCAGCGTTTTTGTGAAAGTGACGAATATATTTGACCTGCTTTGTGAGTCCATATGTTTATGTTGCAGCATGCTGCACTTTTTCAAATAAAAAGCAACATTGTAATGTGCCGCGATATACTCAGCAAGCTTTTTAATAAACTACAACCTTAAATCTTATTTGTATATCAAGGTTGAGGTTTTAATATCCCTGTGATAATATTCACTGCCAAATTAAAAGGCTTAATATCTTAATATCTCACTTTTTTAAATACTCTTATATTAGTTTCCGCCGCACAGCCGAGGCATTTCATTTTCCTATATAGTGCTCATATAGAGCCATAAATTACCCCTTGCCTTGTGTGAACCTTTGTGTGTGAGCGTTTGCGAGGGTGTGTGAGTGTGTGTGTGATGACAGCTTCTTTCATTTTCACAATGTCTCACGCTCCCTGTGGATCTTTCCTCAGTTTGACAGGTTTATAGTCCAGCACAGAAACTGTGTAGTGTGTGAGTGTGGGTGAAAGTGGAAGAGAAATGGTTTATGGGAGAGGTGGGCACTTTGGGAAATATGTCCTTATTGTGAAGTTCAGGTGTCAGAATGTACTGTATGTCCCTCACCTCCAGAATGCTGACGTCTCTGTTTTTCTCTCTCCTGCAGGCCATGGTCGAAACGGTGAATAACCTTCTGCAGGTGCGATCCCAGGCGGCGTGGAGGGAGCTGTCTGTGGCCGAGCAGCTGCGATGCGCAACCATGCTGCTGGACACGGTGGAGACGGGCGCCTTCATGCTCGCAGACAACCTCCTCAAAACCGACACTATACAGGAGAGCACCGACAACATACGTGAGTTTACGAAACCAGTCCTCGCGATGTAATAAGTATGCACATTTCTGGTCAAATCAGATTTCACCTTTGTGTCTCCCGCTGCTTGGTTTGATTTCTCCTGTCACGAGGAGACAAATAAATGAAGTTAAACAACAGATGGATAAAACCTATTTTTTTGGATAAAGAAAACATGAAGGAAATTCCTAAAGCTGATTCATAACAAGTTTTAGAAAAGTTTTGTTTGGCTTTTATTTTTAATGTTTCGTTATGAAGTTTGACATGCTGAATACGAAAATCTCATGACTTTTTGCGTGTCATTAACATAACAGCTTCAAAAATATGTTGATAACTTCTACAAGCTTATCTGTTATTACACATGCCTACAAATGATGTGCAACATGCATAATATTGAGCTAACAACAACATTTTAACAAAAATTAGTCGTCCAAAACTTCAGAAGTGTACACTGGATGATTTTTGTCTGTTATGGCTGGAATGTTCCAGAAAGCGCTAGAATATTCCAGAATGTTACAGAAACTTCTAGAATGTTCCCGTCCTTGAAAAAGCTAAATATCTTAAAAAAAACTAAACAGGCAAAATTAGTACAACAACTTCTCTATACTGAACCAATGATTCATAATTAATGACAGAAGTTCTGAAATTTACCTGGCCTAAATATTTACCAAAATATTAATGCTGCGTGAAAATAAATTGTACAGTAATAATCAGCACCACAAAGTCAAATTTTTGTTATATTGTGTCATTTGATAAGAGCCATAGAAATCAATTTGATCTCTTAATGTGGTGGGTTTATGTAAAATAATAATAAAGTCACAGTTTCTTCACATACTGTGCATAAATCTTCAAAACATCATATAGGGATTTTAATTCCCGCTATCATTTTTAACACTTCCAAAGACGCTTTTCAAGAGGTGTAAAAATGCATTAATGCATTGCAATGCATCATTTACAGAATTGAATAATTCATTATTATTCTACATTATAATGTTTTTTATTATAATAATACAAAAGGCATTCAAATGCAAAATACAATTCTTGAGCATGTGAATGTAAAACGAATTCTAATATTGTATCAATGCTACAGACAGTTACACTTGTGTTTTCAGCATCGTGTTTCGCAAACATTAATGAATGAAGAGTAACTGAGCCAGATCATGACCACATTTTTGATTTTGTGATCATTTGCATCATTTACTAAAGAATCATACTGCAGAAACTAATTTAGCAGTTAAAATATAAAAAACTTATTTAAACAAGAATAAATATATTTTAGAAGCTACACTGCATGACTTTTTTAACTTAAGAAGAAACAAACTTTTATTGACATTAAATTAATTCACAAAATATTAAGCAGAACAACTATTTTCAACATTGATGAAATAGATAATAGTTCTGAGTTTTTATCATTGTACTACTATCAAATATGATAAACTATTTTTTTTTTTGCAGATATGTGTTTGATGTATAAATTAATTCATGATCTTGCGCCACTGCCTCTTAAGCAATGTGTGACTTTCTGTAAGGACAATTTTAGGGAAACCAGGGCATCCGAGGTGACTGTTCAGCTAAATTTAAGAAACCTCTCTTTGGACAATCAGCTTTTTCAGTTAGCGCAGCAGAAAGATAGAATTCAGTGCCTGCTCATAATATTAGAGAGTGTACATCATTTAGTCATTTTAAAACTGCACTCAAAATATGGCTTAAGAAAAATCAAGTATGTGATCACAGATTTGTTGTTGTTGTTGTGATTTGATGTTGTGATATTGTCGTGTGATATTATTATTTTTTTGCTCTCTCTTTTTTATTTCATTTTTTATTTTTGTATTTTGTTTTATTGTCAAATGCAAAATACAATTCTTGAGCATGTGAATGTAAAACGAATTCTAATATTGTATCAATGCTACAGACAGTTACACTTGTGTTTTCAGCATCGTGTTTCGCAAACATTAATGAATGAAGAGTAACTGAGCCAGATCATGACCACATTTTTGATTTTGTGATCATTTGCATCATTTACTAAAGAATCATACTGCAGAAACTAATTTAGCAGTTAAAATATAAAAAACTTATTTAAACAAGAATAAATATATTTTAGAAGCTACACTGCATGACTTTTTTAACTTAAGAAGAAACAAACTTTTATTGACATTAAATTAATTCACAAAATATTAAGCAGAACAACTATTTTCAACATTGATGAAATAGATAATAGTTCTGAGTTTTTATCATTGTACTACTATCAAATATGATAAACTATTGATGTTTGACTTTTTTTTTTTTGCAGATATGTGTTTGATGTATAAATTAATTCATGATCTTGCGCCACTACCTCTTAAGCAATGTGTGACTTTCTGTAAGGACAATTTTAGGGAAACCAGGGCATCCGAGGTGACTGTTCAGCTAAATTTAAGAAACCTCTCTTTGGACAATCAGCTTTTTCAGTTAGCGCAGCAGAAAGATAGAATTCAGTGCCTGCTCATAATATTAGAGAGTGTACATCATTTAGTCATTTTAAAACTGCACTCAAAATATGGCTTAAGAAAAATCAAGTATGTGATCACAGATTTGTTGTTGTTGTTGTGATTTGATGTTGTGATATTGTCGTGTGATATTATTATTTTTTTGCTCTCTCTTTTTTATTTCATTTTTTATTTTTGTATTTTGTTTTATTGTAATGGATTGCTGTAATTTTATGTACAGATGCAGATTAGCTATCTAGCTAACTTTGGCACAACATTTGTGTTGTGCATGGTTCCTGTTAAATACATGAAATAAACTAAACTAAGAAGTGTTTCTTGGGGGAAAAAATAGCATATTAGAAGGATTTCTGAAGGGTAATGTGACACCGAAGACTGGAGTAATGAGTAATGATAAGTAAGGAGATATATAAATATAACCAGTTTTGTATTTTTAAAAATGATTTACATCATATATACATTTCCCCCCCCCAAAAGATGCACATATACACTGTGTGCTAGGGGTTTATATGTATGGTCTGATGCATAAAAAACACATTGTCACATTAGAGGTAAACAGCAGGGACACACGCTTCAAGTACACTCGAGCCAGATGCAACGAAGCGTGTCTGTGCAAAACACAAGAGCGCTCCACACAGGGGGTCTCGTTCTGTCTGACTCATGCGGAGGAATCCATGCCTCGTCTTAAGAAACAGACAGAAGTGGTCAAAATGTGTACTGACTGACACAGGACTGCCACAGATACAGAGAAAGCAATTTCTCAGAGAAAATACAGAGATCAATACGAGCATTCAAACGTGACATTTGAAACCATTGCTGTGTTAATTGTGGAATGCTCTAGCATGCTGTTAACTGCTCTCATGCTGCCAGTCAGTGCAGGCAGGAGGCAGTTTTCTTCAAGCTGCTTGGGAATGAATGGGCCCTGTGAAACTGAGACAGTGCAGTTAAAAAATGAATCTAATCTATAATCAATATTCAAACCAATGCTAAAAATAATGTTGCAAATTAAAGACAGCATCAAAACAAGCAATCTCTCTAGAAAAAAATATACTTTTCAAAAAATGTGATTATATTTATATATATATATATATATATATATATATATGATGGGCCCTGTGAAACTGAGACAGTGCAGTTAAAAAATGAATCTAATCTATAATCAATATTCAAACCAATGCTAAAAATAATGTTGCAAATTAAAGAGTTAAAGTGCTGTCAAATCGCATCCGAAATAAAAGTTTGTTTACATAATATGTGTGTGTACTCTGTATATATGTATATATACTGTAAATACACACATATACACTTAAGAAATATTTACATATATATATATGATTTATATTATCAAAACATTGCTGAAATTTTATAGCTGCAACAATCACTCAAAACCATGGTCTCATGCACATACACACGCACACACACACGCACGCACGCACACACACACACACACACACACACACACACACAGACAGTTTTACAGCTAGGGTTTAAAATTAACATTCACCAAACGCCAGATGCAAATAAAAATTGGCTTGGGAGAATACATAACAGCCAGTTGGCCTTTTCTAGGAAATGCAAAATAATGCATTATTCTTTCTATTTACGCAATGATCAGTGGCTGTTGAGCAACCAACATCTTTTATCTCAGTGGGAAATTTACTGGAATAAGTTTGCCTAGAAAGCCAACCATTTTTTTTGGTTTGTCTTTTATTGCCCAAAACTTAATGCAAAGACACATTTATGTAGAAACACATTCATGACATTAGCCTCCAAAACAACACTAATAATAAAATCGAAATGTTCACAATTTCAGCTTTTCTTTAAGAGATGCTGTGCATGACGGACTCTCTGACCCACTGGGAAATAGCTAATGCTTGTTTTTTACCACAGGAAAAAAAGCAGGAATGACATGCACCTGTTCATCCTGGCTCACTTGATACCCAAGGTCAGATGCGACATGACTAAAGAACACTTAAAGACATGACTAAACAACTTAGCAGATTTTTAAATGCATTTTCATTCAGCATGCAAGGAGATACAGGTAT